GAGGTTTAATCCAGTTATGATTTCCACAACCTGTCCGAGTGTGGCAACATTCCTCCCAGCACCACAACCCATAGCAGTTGCAGCACCAACTGCATTTGCAATTGTTAATGTATAGACCAAGGGCAGGTTATGTATAAAACCAAATGCGACTGCAGCCACAAAACTATCTCCACACCCGACAGTGTCTATAACATTCACCTGTTCAAATCATAAAGTACGCCGGTAGTCATATCATGGACTCACAAAGGTAAAGGACGTGTATGGATACACTTTACTTGTCCTAGAAACATGGGAAATTTTTTAAAGAGCAACCTATTCCAGAAGATAAAATAAATTATTCCAGCCAGAATGAAAAATCTAAACCGGAAAAACAGAAGAAAGAAAGACTTGTACAAATGATAAACCAAACCACGTCACGAATGGAAAATAGTTGATACCTTGAATGCAGGGGCACAAGATATACTTGAAGCTGTGATCAGAATTGATCCCTTGGGACCCATTTTAACAATCACCCACTTTGTGCGAACCCCTTTCTGGAGCAACTCCTGTCCAGCCATAATAGGGTTTGCTATGCCAGTCAAAGATTCAGCCTGACACAGGGTATCACGAGTCACATAACAGAAAAAATGAACATAGCTGCACAGTAATGGAGGGAGGAAGGTTTCCACAGTGAACCACAAGTTGATAACCAAGGAAACTTGTAGGAAAGATGGGGAAAAAGGGTAATATAATAAGAATAGTGTAACGTCTTTTTATAACTTTTAAAACTGAATATCCAGAACAAAAAACATAAAAAATGAAGAAGTGCAGGACATGATATAAATGCCAGATGAAAATAACCTGTTCCTAAGAAGCTTAAAAAGTGAAACAGATGGACGTAGCGGGAAAATAAACATCTTGAATAACCTCACACCAAAGAGGCCACAAGATGGTCTAACACTAGAAGAACTAAAAAAAATAAGCCATGTCATCTTACAGCTCAGGCAACAGCTAAGGCACAGGTAGAAATGATATAAGATACTAGCAACATATAAATTATGATCATTAAGATAATAATGACACACCACACTCAAGATGAGATTACAATACAATATACAAATCATGATGATTGTTCATTTATACCTCCTCGGAAGTTAATAGAAGAACGTCACTCAATTTCAAGAATTTGTTCAGTGCTATTTGCTCTTCAGGCGTTCCTAAAATGAGGGACTTCCCCCTTGGTCCAGGGTCAAAAAATATTGAGGTGCCGACTTCAATGGCATACTCTAGAGATGACATAATTATACCAGGAGAAAGTTCATCAAAGCCATATCCGTTGCAGAATATGATCTTGGAGCGTTTGATAGCCATCTTTACTTCATTAGACAGTTTGCTCAACCAGTTAAATGCAGGCTCCTTGCTAAAATCTGCTCGACTGAAAAGAAAATTTATGTGTTTCACTTATACATTACTGTTTCAGAATAAATAAAATAATTTCAAAAGTGCACTATAAAGATAAAGAAATATTGAACTAGATGTTATACCTGCAAAAGCCATGTCTTTGCAGAGGGTCCACTAAGACCCAACACAAAAGCGTCTCATAAGCTGCACGTGAATGATCAACCACATCATTCTGCTCATCCATTTCAACCATGCTGATTCCCTCATCACGAAGTACATCTAGGAGGAAGTTACCATAGATTTCATCACCAACATGCCCAAGAGTAACACAGCGAAGTCCCAATCTAGCTGCAGCTATAGCCATATTGCAGTTGCCACCAGCTTCCCAGTATTTCTATGAGTAGAACTAAATAATCAAGACTCCAATCCCACAATTTTTTTTTTT